CCTCTCATACCTTAATGTGATGTTCATATATATATTTTTATATATATGTGTGTATATATAAACATATATGTATGTGTTTTGAAGTATAGCTTCCTTTTCTTTATATTTATTAGAATAGCGCTTTAATAATTATAGAATCATATTGGCAACATCTTTTATAGAAATATAATCATGTTTATTTTAAGAACTGACAACTTGTTTTTGCTATCTTTTAGTGCAATAAGCAGTTTTAAAAGAAAGCTGTGTCTGTTTGACATCTCTACCACAGATAGTGGGAGAAACAGGCACCTCCATAATTTTAAAAGGGCAAAGTAATACAGCCTTAATTTCAGAAGGAAAGTTTTGTAATTTTCAAATTTCAAGTATGTCTTTTTAAAAATCACAGTGAAAATGAAGGAAGTTAAATTTCCTAAATGAGTCTGACCTGAATATTAGAAATAAAGTTGAAAACTTTAAGTAATGACAGTAACTAGCTTAAGATTTAGAAGATATTTAAATTCTTTGAAAATAGATCATGTTTATTAAAGAATCATACTAGTGAGGTGTTCATTTTCATTTACTGAAATGAATCAGAAAAATGTAAAATGACATTTAAAAAAATTTTTTTTGCTAATTCATCACCAGTGTAACTTTCCTTTTAAAATTAGGGTAATGGTGACAGAGGAAGTTAGGCCTTTGATCATTCTATATGAGTTAAATAACTGAAATGTTGGAAACAGTTTTGCAGAACTTTTGTTTTATTGATTTCACTTTAAGATATTAATAAGTACTATAAAGCTGTCAAACCGAGTACATCAGTAACCTTGGATTCAGGGGAGCTTTGCACTTTGTAACTCATGAAAATCGCATTTTAATTTTTTTTTTTTTTGCACTGGTTCAGAGTATAGATATTACAGATTGTTTCCAGTGGGCATTGTTGTTAACCTTTCAGAATTCCATCTGCACATGAAAACAAATGGATTAGCTCTTTTAGTTTCTCTCTTACCTGTACCCACATTTATTGTCGATTTACTGTATTTTGAGCCTAAAATCTGAGCCCATGTCCTCTAACAGTTAGGAAATCTTTTGTCCCTCTGCCAGAAAACTAACAAAGTACTGTATTTTGTATGTCTATTATATTGAAGTGTCTGAAATGCAATTTAAAACACTGTTTCCAAGCTCTTTACATAAGGTAATATTTGTGTAATATATACATTTTTCTCCCAACCCTCTCCCCCCAAAAAAAATTCCTGTAAAGGATGTGTTTTTTTCATTGAAATTTCACTGAATATCAAAAATTGTTGAATTTTTTTTACACTGAAAATTCATAGAACATGGGCAAAAGAAGAAAATAGTATATCCTAGATGGTAAAAACTTGATTGTATATGTTTCCTCAGTATGCATAACACATCTTCCTTTATCAGTGGGAATTGCACAGATTCACATGCGAAACTTTAGGTCCCAAGAAAGAACTTTAGATAACCTTTCCTGATTTACTGCTTTACCTAATTTTTAGTCACTTAATCTCACATGTGCTAAAATAAAGCCCACAATTTAAACCTATTTGGAAGGGCTTTTACAGAGGAAAAAAAATTTTTTTTAATATAAAATTTTACGTTGGAAGTGAGTTCTTTTTAGGGTGCTCTTAGAGTTTCAACACTGCTAGTTTAAAGTTGGTTAACTTGAAAGAATATGTATAGTGTATTTCTGTTTTGCTAGCTAACAGATTGGTATATTGAACTTAATTACGAGAAAATTTGTGCTTAGAATTTTAAGGTAAAAGACTATGTGGCAAATATGTTTTGAAATTTGTTTTAATTGTTACTACACTTCTGGTGTAGAATTCCTGATCATTTTTATTTAAAAAAAAAAGTTTTGAGTTTAATGGTCATGAAATTCAACAGTGACCTGTCTGTTCCTGCCTTTGCTCACTATACAATGAATGTCTGTTGTTTTCTATGATATATGAGTGACAGGGTGACTTTAAAATGTCAGTCCCAGCAACTGGTATAATTGATTTTCATGTAAAGAAGAATTGGGAGTTTACTGTATATTCTGGATGGCAAATGTGTCCGTGTAAAGGGCTGATACATATTTTACATTACAGTATCAAGTTACTGGCATTGAGGACCATGCATTTATAATACTGTAGCTGCTATATTTATTTAATGAAGTGGAGTCTGACAGTTACTGCATTAAACAGTAAGGAGATGAGCAGGATTCAAGGCTAGTGTTAGACCCTTCTTTCTTTCCTTTTCTTTTTTTTTTTTACCCTAAAAAGATTAAGAGCATAAAATATCAAGGTAACAAAGGGTGCTGCCATTTTAGTTTCAATTTAACATCAGGATACTCTTTTTATGGTTTTAGAAATGTGGATTTTGACTTCAGCAGTTTTGAAAAGGGTACCTCAACCTCCTCAGTACTGGTTTTTGGCATATTTTTACGGAAGTATAGATGCCCTTTATTTTTTTCTTAGTATTTTACCTTTTAACAAGTTTCTCAGAAAAAGTATTCTTCTATGGAAATCTTCCTGTTTATAACCTATTAATTTATTTATCTTCCTAGAAGAGAGTCTAGCTAGAATTCTAGTGGGAATGTACTAGGTTTTTCAGAAGGCACCTGATAAAGATTCATCTCTACCTTCTAGCACAGAGACTCCTAGCCTTCTGAAGGCCTATACTAGTTTTCCAAACTAGGTTCTCTGATGACCCACCACTGCCTAAAGTTTACTTGTATATTCTGTAAGGATTTTAGTATGACAGACCTCATGACAGGCTTAGTCACGGCAGACTTAAGGTATGTCTAGGGAAATAAAAGCTGAGCTGCCATTCAGTAGAAACGGCTAGCAGAGGATTTCAATGTTTAAGGAAAAGGTGAACACTCAGAGTGCCAGTAATAGATCTGAAGTAATTAGATGGATTATAGACCAGGAATTAGAGATACTGTTCAAAGAATTTGGTGGGTGTTTGATTCAGAGGCCAACATGAATTTGCTGTGAGTGGTGGTTTTTATGACGCCCATGAAGCTAGCCACTTGGATTCATCCAGAATATTTTGTAGTCTTGCTAGTTGAAACTTGATAGTAATGTTTTGCCAAGAAGCTTAACTGAAAACTCAGTGATTTTTATTCAGTATCATTAGACTTGAGTTCAATATTTATTTAACTCATCCCCTTAGATATTCTCCTATTGAAAACTTTTAAAGACACATTATCCCTAACAGGAACTTGCTGCCTAAATAATCTTTTAGGAGTTATCAGTCAAGCTGCAAAAAGACATCATTGGCCTGGCAACTTTATTTTATTTATTTTTATTGAAGTATAGTTGATTTACAATATTGTGTTTGGCCTGGCATCTCTATTTTGGCTTTTTTATCCATATGAATTTTAATCCTTTTCATTCTTTTTTGAGGATTCATGGTTGTCTCAAAGCTTCAATAATAATAGTTGGGAGAGCTTACATCAAGTGAGGCCTTTGTGAGTGACAGTATAACCCTGACTCTAAAGTCTGTCTTTATTTTCCTTTTTCTCTCCCATTTGTTCATATAAAGCACTTTGTGATTCTATAGGGAGTCAAAAAATAAGCCAAGAATAATGTGTAAAATCAGAACATAAATGTGAAAGTGAGAATTTTCTCCAGAAAACTCATTTCTTTTTAAATTCCTGATTATACTAAGAACACTCTTGATCAGTGGCAATGTTAGAAATGATATTGTGATTAATGAAACTTAAGCTGACTCCCAGGAGAAAAAAATCTCAACCTTTCTTCCCCTCTCCCGACCCC